ATAAGGCAACATACAATTGTCCATGTGAAAACTGGATCTTTCAGAAACAGACCAACCTTTGACAACGATTGTCCTTGACTTTTGTTAATAGTCTATTGCAAAACATACAGCCAAAGGAAACTGTCTTCTTGTGAATTTGAAGGGAATCTTTTTTTCTGATGGAGTTAAAAGACATTCTTGGAATAAAAGTCCGATTTCCAATATTAGTTCCAGTTATTATACGTGCCTCAATAACACGTTTGCCCAATGATAACACCTGTAGTCTTGTGCCATTACATAAGCCGTTTTTCTGATCATATTTCTCAGTAACATTACTGGAACACAATTTTAAAACTAATTTATGATTTGGTAAACGGATACTTTGAGTCCATTTAATACATCAGGAGAGTATAGATTTGCATCAAATTGATCATGGAGAAATTCGGATTCACATATGCAGTCTGAACTTAAATATTCAACTTGATCTCCTGGAAACTTCTTAAGTAAACGGTCGTTTATTTCCTGGACAACTTCATTTTTTGAGCAAGTATCGCTCTTTCTTGGAAATAATTTATATCGCTATAGTACTCTAAAATTGAAGGATATACAACTCAATTAAGGAACCTATAGGATCATGTGAATCATTAATGAGAATATCATCCGGAATATCGATAATCGTTTCACCGTCGTTCGGACCACCAAGTTTCCTTCTCCTATATCCAACAACAATTTGCAAAATCTCTTATTTTTCCTATATCTGATTGATCCCTTCCAACAGTTAGCCTCATGTTTTTTGTTAATCTATGGACTTTGCAATGTTCCCATAAATATGAAGAACTCAAAGAAGCATTTACAATGTTCTGTCTACTGCCACCCGGCACAACAGGTAGAATTTGTCTAAATCTCCTCCAAAGACAATAACTTTCCCTCCAAATGGAATATTTGAGATGGTTGAATTTACGCACCTTAATAATCCTTCAAAGTTCGATCTAAAGCTTCAAATGCATGCTTATGGACCATAGGTGCTTCATCCCAAATTATCAAAGAGGTTTTTCCTTATTAAGCTTGCAACTCACCGTCTGGATTTATGTTACAAAAAGAATCCTCTGTAAGCTCAAATGGAATTATAAATCGAGAGTGTGCTATTCTACCACCGGGCAATAATAAGGAAGCAATACTACTTGAAGCAACATTTAATACAATATTTCCTTCAGATCTAATTGCTGCAGATATTGTTTTCCATAAAAAAGTTTTACCCGTTCCACCATACCCGTAAACAAAGAAGACACCTCCTTTATTTTGTTGAATAACACTCTTGATGTTTAGGAAAATGTTCCGTTGCTCATTTGTTAATGCAAGAAACATACGATCATAGTCATTCTTTATCACGGGAATGTCGTAATCTAGTTCCTCGGTGATAAGTCGATTGTTTGAAGAAGAAACGGATTCAACATCTGGGTATAGCATGTTTTTGAAGTTTTTGAGAGTAGAGTTGTTTCGAAGTAAAATTTGTTGTATTTCGAACAAAGTTAAGTTCTTAAGTTCATCTACTCCGAGAGACAATTCTGCACGAAATATTAAATAATTAAATAAATACGTGGTTGATATTTAATAATTTCATTACTAATTATTTAATGGTGTTGAAAATAAAAATAAATTAATTTTAAAAAATAAGAAAAAATGTAATACCTGCTGACTTAAATCTTCGTCGTTGGCTATATAGAATTCCATCTGCCAAATATTCTCATGTATTTTCCCAAACGATCTCTGGTTTAGACATACTATTACACATCAACAATGTAGCAAATAAAAAGCGTAGATAAAAACCAGATCCAGAATGACTTGCTTCTTTAATTGCATCAATGTATTCCTTGTCATCATCTAATAGCCCGAGTGCATAACAGACATCTCTAAAAGAAGAATGTGTTTCTCCATTTACCGTGCGAATTTCATCAAATGATGTTGGTCCTTTTACTTTATTTAAAAGAATCCTTAAGAAATATGCTTCACCTAGTTTAGGTGAAACTGAATGAATTCTACCGATGGCTTTTCCTACTTTCCTTCGCTTCCAAAACCGAACATTTAATATCCAAACAAACTTTGTAGGGAATTCAACATATGTGAGTTTTCGTGCTTCACTGTCGATTGCATTACACTCCATCCAAGCTGTGAACTTTGAAGCGGCAACAGAAGGTTTGTCAAGAACATCATCAATATCATCATCTTCGCCATATACAATCTGTTGTTGATTAGGAAGATTTTCTTCCTGATTTTTTGGAATTTAAAAGATTACAACTAAAAATTAGTTTAATATTCAAATTTCATCTAAAAAAGGAGTATAGAATATTAGGAAATAGTTGGTTGAATATAGGTTATTTACAGAAGATAGGTAAATATGCTGCAACCATTACAAAAATGTATGAATTAATTTTAGAGAATCAAAGATATAAATTTTGTTTACAATTGGTTATTGATTATTTATTAAAAATAACATATTTATCGTGACAAAAATAATAGTTATTATAAATAATAGACATAAATGTTCCATGTTTAAAATAATCAACATAAAGATGCGAAGGTGATTATGGTTAATATTCATTATTGGAGTCAAATGCAGTTCACGTGTAAAAGCAAAAATGTTCGCATTTGGTAATACAAGTCAAAATTGGGTATCGCATATGAGGTTGTATGGATTGGGGTTAAAGATGCGAAGGTGATTATGGTTAATATTCATTTCGTATTTGGTGAGACAAACAACTCAAATGCGAATGAACTAAAAAAAAATAACTGGAACATGCGAAGAAAGAGGGTGAATGAAGAATGTGAATTTTATAGTAGAATGCGAATTGGGGAAGAAAGCTAAGAATTTCGCATTTTTATTATACAAATTGATTGATTGATTGATTTGTCTTAATTGTTAATTGCGATATATGAAATACTTATCAAGTTAGGGGCAATATGGTCATTTTGAAGTAAAAGAAGCCTTGGTTATTAAATGAATCATACGAAGGATCTGTTATTTGATTTTGGAATTGAGGCGAATAATCGAACCATTTGGAGTTGCGAATTTGATTTTGAAAAGCCAATCAGTTGGGTTCGCATATAAAACAGATAAGTTTTGATTTTGGATTAGCAATTGGGTTAATTGGTTTATTGATTGAGGGACGATTCGTGAAGAAAAATGCGAAGTCAAGAAGGACTGTGAAATGTGATTTGTTCAATATTGGAGTCAAATGCAGTTCACGTGTAAAAGCAAAAATGTTCGCATTTGGTAATACAAATCAAAATTGGGTTTCGCATATGAGGTTGTATGGATTGGGGTTAAAGATGCGAAGGTGATTATGGTTAATATTATTTCGCATTTGGTGAGACAAACAACTCAAATGCAATGAACTAAAAAAAAATGACTGGAACATGCGAAGAAAGAGGGTGAATGAAGAATGTGAATTTTACAGTAGAATGCGAATTGGGAAGAAAGCTAAGAATTTCGCATTTTTATTATACAAATTGATTGATTGATTGATTTGTCTTAATTGTTAATTGCGATATATGAAATACTTATCAAGTTAGGGGCAATATGGTCATTTTGAAGTAAAAGAAGCCTTGGTTATTAAATGAATCATACGAAGGATCTGTTATTTGATTTTGGAATTGGGGCGAATAATCGAACGATTTGGAGTTGCGAATTTGATTTTGAAAAGCCAATCAGTTGGGTTCGCATATGAAAACAGATAAGTTTTGATTTTCGATTAGCAATTGGGTTAATTGGGTTATTGATTGAGGGACGATTCGTGAAGAAAAATGCGAAGTCAAGAAGGACTGTGAAATGTGATTTGTTCAATATTGGAGTCAAATGCAGTTCACGTGTAAAAGCAAAAATGTTCGCATTTGGTAATACAAATCAAAATTGGGTTTCGCATATGAGGTTGTATGGATTGGGGTTAAAGATGCGAAGGTGATTATGGTTAATATTAATTTCGTATTTGGTGAGACAAACAACTCAAATGCGAATGAACTAAAAAAAAAATGACTGGAACATGCGAAGAAAGAGGGTGAATGAAGAATGTGAATTTTACAGTAGAATGTGAATTGGGGAAGAAAGCTAAGAATTTCGCATTTTTATTATACAAATTGATTGATTGATTGATTTGTCTTAATTGTTAATTGCGATATATGAAATACTTATCAAGTTAGGGGCAATATGGTCATTTTGAAGTAAAAGAAGCCTTGGTTATTAAATGAATCATACGAAGGATCTGTTATTTGATTTTGGAATTGGGGCGAATAATCGAACGATTTGGAGTTGTGAATTTGATTTTGAAAAGCCAATCAGTTGGGTTCGCATATGAAAACAGATAAGTTTTGATTTTCGATTAGCAATTGGGTTAATTGGGTTATTGATTGAGGAACGATTCGTGAAGAAAAATGCGAAGTCAAGAAGGACTGTGAAATGTGATTTGTTCAATATTGGAGTCAAATGCAGTTCACGTGTAAAAGCAAAAATGTTCGCATTTGGTAATACAAATCAAAATTGGGTTTCGCATATGAGGTTGTATGGATTGGGGTTAAAGATGCGAAGGTGATTATGGTTAATATTAATTTCGCATTTGGTGAGACAAACAACTCAAATGCAAATGAACTAAAAAAAAATACTGGAACATGCGAAGAAAGAGGGTGAATGAAGAATGTGAATTTTACAGTAGAATGCGAATTGGGGAAGAAAGCTAAGAATTTCGCATTTTTATTATACAAATTGATTGATTGATTGATTTGTCTTAATTGTTAATTGCGATATATGAAATACTTATCAAGTTAGGGGCAATATATTTTATTTGAGTTATAACCAAAATCAACTAACTTGTCCAATTTAAAACAATAAAAGTATCCAAAAATATTCAAAACCAATAATATTTGACATCCTAAATACCCCAAAATAAAAATCATACCAAGCAATTAAAATATCTTTATAACCAAAACAAATGATCAAAATATATTAAATGTGTCTTATAACCGATAGACACTCACTTTTCAATTTTTGGAATCAAGAGTGGAGTTTCCTCTGCGGTTGACTTTCTTTTAGCCTTAGTTGAACTTAAATCATATTCAGAATCAACATCATAAATTTCTTGGAGGTTGCGCTTCAGATCACCTGATATTTTGCAAGGACTTGTTGCGGTTGACTTATCAACTGTTGAGGGTGTAAAACTTTCGTCTGTTTGTGAGATCACATCCTAATTTTAAAAAAAAAATGTTTGATTCCTAAAAAAAATAACTAATATAATTAAAAGTTTATAAAATAAAATGAAAAACCTTTTGAACAGGCTGTACAACATCATCGGATTCCAAAGCAACTTGATTTAAGGCGACAGATTGATTACTCTAAAAAATAAAATGGAAATATGTTAATCGTTATGTACTTTAACATTAAAGAATTGTAAATTTTCAACAATAAAAAATTACATACCATAAGTTCTATTTTACTTTCCAATTCAGAAACAATGGACATATCTTCTGTAACTCTGAGAACTGTGTAGATGTTATTATAGTTGTTGACATTGTATTCTGTAATATCTACAACAAAACCAAACTTGCGGTTTTTCAACACATTAAGTTGCATTGGAAATAGGGCATCACTGTCTCCGGCCTGTAAGATATATTTTAATAAATTAAAAAAATAAGTAAATGTTTTCTGATTTGAAAGGTATGAATAATATACCGCATCATGTATCTTTTTCAACTCGTAGGCACTTATATTTAACAACCTCCTTGCTTCCCTATCAAAAAGAGTCAATCCAATGGTTCCAGTACAATCTTGTACGTTAATTGGAATTATATACCTAAAACAAAAAATAATTATGTCATTGTTAGTGTTGTTTTAAGATTGACAAAATTAATATAAATAAATATGTCTATACTTTATAACTGACTGAAATTCAGATTTTTTGCATTGTGCATTTGTACACTCGACAACCATAGTTTCGGAAATTCCCTCAGGGTTGGTATACGAATGATTGGTTTTGGGAACAGGGATAACTTTTTTTTCACATTTTTGCATGCTTCATAATACCATGGTAGATTCTGCCTTATATTAACAATGGAAGCAACTAATAAAAACTTCATTTCCTGTATCATATAAAATGTAAAAATTATTAAAATAAATTATGCAAAAATAAAATGTAAAACATATAAAATAATGCAATATACCTTAATTGGTTCGGTGATCTCACAGATTGTTTTTAATGGAAAATTGCCCTTAAAGTCATCTGTATATGAAGAAGAGTAGCTTTGAAGTGTAGTTATGCTTTTTTCAGTTATACCGAAATTGTCATGACATTTCAACCTGTAATGTTTAATTTAGATTCATGAATATTAGGTTTTGTGTTTTTTTTAAGTTGAAATACATTATAAAAAAATAAAAAACAATTGGAAACTAACTTATTTTTAAACTCATTTATTTCATAAATGTCAGAATTTATGAACAATTTCGTTACTTCAAAATGACTTTTAGCTTCACCAAGACCTGTAAAAAATGTATATCCAATTATTAAAATTTATATAAAAACAGTAATTATAAACATCTATATATAAAGACTGAATACAAACCATTCCAAATGTTTAGCTTCAAAAACTGCATCACGATAACAACAAAATTAATAGTCGGGTTATTTTTTAGGTATTCTGAAATTTGATATGCTTGACTTCCAAAAATAGTAACCTTCAGATGTACAGAACTAAATAAACCATAAAATAGTATATTAATATTAATTTGTGATTAATTAAAGATAATAAATAATAAATAAATAATACAATATAATCTCACTCTAGGTTGCTAAGAGTGACTTTTATATAATGCTTGGATGGTACTGGATTTGAAGTTTCAAGAGGCCTAAATGACACGATATGTCCAATAACATCTACACAACAGATACCACAAAAAAATAAAAGTTTAGGATTAAATTCGTAATATTTAAATAATAAAATGTATAACCAAAAAAACAAATGATAAAAAATGATTTTATTAATATTTTATGACTAACCAAAGAATGTGTCTTTTGGGCATGTTTGTTCTATGATAGAATTAAAGTCAACAAACATAAATCCATTGACGGACCCGAGAAATCATCACATTTTTTAGGATGCTTTTCCAATCCAAAGTAAGGTCTGTTTATGACCTGTATAACTAAAACCATTAGTAACAGCAGCCATATTGGGTTTTATAACTATATAACTTTCATCTTCCTTTAAAAGATGACGAAATCTGGAGAAATTCTGATTGAAGACACGAGCTTGGTATTGTGTACCCTGTTTAAAAAAAAATTAAAAATTATTATGTTCATGAAACATGTCTAATATTGAATGATGAATAAAAAATATATCAAATACAACAAACCTCCTCATCCATGATGATCATTTCAATGGAACAAACTTTATTATTTTTGACAAAGTTCCAAATTTTAAGCACCCGAACCTTGATATGCGATTTTTCATCTATCTGGTCAATGTTATTTAGGTAAACCTTATTTCCTATTTCCATTTTCTGCAATAAATTTAATCATTATAGAATTGTAAGGAAAATTAGCAACCTTTTAAATTAACAGCAAATCAAAGTAAATGAAACAGCAAAACAAAAAAAACATATTGTAATAGTTAAAGCTTTGAGGTTGTATGGATTGGGGTTAAAGATGTTCGCATATTGGAGTCAAATGCAGTTCACGTGTAAAAGCAAAAATGTTCGCATTTGGTAATACAAATCAAAATTGGGTTTCGCATATGAGGTTGTATGGATTGGGGTTAAAGATGCGAAGGTGATTATGGTTAATATTCATTTCGTATTTGGTGAGACAAACAACTCAAATGCGAATGAACTAAAAAAAAATGACTGGAACATGCGAAGAAATAGGGTGAATGAAGAATGTTAATTTTACAGTAGAATGCGAATTGGGGAAGAAAGCTAAGAATTTCGCATTTTTATTATACAAATTGATTGATTGATTGATTTGTCTTAATTGTTAATTGCGATATATGAAATACTTATCAAGTTAGGGGCAATATGGTCATTTTGAAGTAAAAGAAGCCTTGGTTATTAAATGAATCATACGAAGGATCTGTTATTTGATTTTGGAATTGGGGCGAAAATTAGCAACCTTTTAAATTAACAGCAAATCAAAGTAAATGAAACAGCAAAACAAAAAAACATATTGTAATAGTTAAAGCTTTGAAGAACAGTTTTTTTAAAGAAAATAAAGTTCTCATTTTTATTACTAATTTCGTATTTTGTAATCATTTTCATTAACATTTACGTCTTTTAAACTGAAAAGGTAGAAGAAGAACATGATTAAGAAGAATTAGCAAAAGGAAGAAGAAGAACATCACTAATAAAATGAAAAATGATAGAAACTGGTAAATCAGACAATTAAGAGGTTAGAAATATTAGTAATGCTGATATTTTAATACACTAACCTGATATTATAATTTTTGAAGCGTTGCAGAATCAAGAAGAATGAAGAAGAATACGTTTGCAAATATTACTATGGAGCAGAATTCGTCTGGAGCAGAATGGTAAAAAGAAAATAACCGTATGAATGCTATTTACGTTTGAATAAATAAGAATAAGAATTAAGAAGATTACGTTTGAAAAAGATAAATATTGCAGATTTTTAGGGATTTAATTTGCAATCAAAATAAACAAACTTTCAAAATTAATGCGTGTTTTTCGAATCTGAAGATTGATTAACATATTTGTTTGCAGATTTTTCCAGAATTATTGATTTTGGATTGTATGGCATTTACGTAAATATAGATGAATAAAATGAGCGGGAAAACTCTATTTTGGAGGTCTTATAGATTGACACGTGGCAGAGTTCTACTTATTTATTAGAATTAGGATATATATATATATATATTATATATATATATATATATATATATATATATATATATATATATATATATGAGTATTAAACTTAGCTTTAACCTCTTTGTAACATGTCGATCAAAGAGATATTCTTTACATATTTTCCAGTACACACAAAACATACATATAAACTATAATATGTATAGTTTATGAACCATACATACTACCCTACTAGTTCAAGGAACTATGCAATAACATACATGATAAATTATAATATGTATAATTTATGGAACACATACACTATTTTACTAAGTTTCAAGAATACAATACATAAATAATTATTTAAGTATAATTATTTTACACTATGAGAACACCACAAAAGGGAATACATGCAATTACAAGAACAAGAGAACATTTACACACTATACGTAAACAAGTTAACACGGGATTCTGAGCCACTACTTCATTCTACCTATTAAGGTAAGTGTCAAAGTCCTGATTATAATGAATTTTTTGTATAGATCTATACGGGACTGACAATCCCGCACCTAAACCGTTAGCTACAGTTAGGCCGGCAGGCCTGGGATGACAAATGCCATAACATTCCTACGCCTGAAGAATGTTGTGTGGGCTACTAGTCACTTTAGCATCGTTATAACCTCACTCACAATAAGTATTAACTAAACATTTTGTTTACGGAACAAACACATCTTCAAAGGTTTTATTTTTATAATAGAACTACATTACAATACATTAAACTACAGTATAGTTGGTGGATTCTATGCTCATATATATATATATATATATATATATATATATATATATATATAAAGGGTTTTCATACGAATATAATACAGTAATCTATTTTCCCAATACAATATACTATTTCAGAGTACAATAACAAATATACATTTTGGTCTTAAAGCCTAAGACTACATCTCATTTACAAAAGAAAATATTGAATTTTTTGGAGGAACACACTAACATTTTCAAGGAACAATGACAAGCTTTCCATCACAAAAACATACTTATAAACTCACCAACTTAAATGTTGATACACTTTCAAAATCACTTGTATTCTCAGGGAACCAGTAGACAGATACACTATAGGTTTTTGACAAGACGGACCATTCATGGCGTCACGTCTATAGTTTTTGCTATACCTTTTGGTTTTATACAAACAATGTTGCAAACATAATGTAAACACTAAATTATCAATGCAATGGTTGTTGTTACTTTTATTACTATCATGCAACTGTTGTGATACTGTACATAACGTCCTCCGCCCCCGAACGTTTCCGCCGTTATGGTTTGGGGGTGTGACAAAGTCAAAATCAAAGTCAGCATCTGGTTGACTCAACCCACCGAGTTCCCTAAATCAGAGAACCCCGAAGTCGCGATCCAACTCGCCGAGTTACCCTCTAACTTGCAGAGTTCTTCCTTATGATAGAATCAAGACTTTTCATTCCAACTCTTCGAGTCCTTCCTTAAACTCGTCGAGTTCTCCAATCTTCAAAACCCTGAAACTTAGTCAACTCACTTAGTCGACTCCTAGACTCACTGGGTTTGCTCAGTAACCAGAAAAGGTTGGGGACACGATCCAACTCGTGGAGTTGCATGAACAACTCATCGAGTTCCCCTTAATCTATATCCATTAACTCACTTTCTGTTAGGCTTAATGCTTTCAAGCCATGGATCTGGTCCCTTAGGGTCGATATATCATGTAACATTGCTAACTTTATGTCCATGCATGAGTTATTTAGTTCAAAGACCCAAAAAGGTGGTTTACAAGTTGCATGGGAATCCTATGGCCATAAAGTTGGCACCTTTATGCCATGGAGTCCCTCAAAGACTCTAAGGTTCTTTCCACATATATATATATATATATATATATATATATATATATATATATATATATATATATATATATATATATATATATATATATATATATTTGACGTTTTAACTTAATTCAAAAGCAAGTGGAAGGATTTAATGAGATTAAGAGACACAATCTCAAGGACCATTGTTGTAACTTCAATTAAAACCAAAATTGGACTCACCTTTTTAAATACAAAGAAACAAAGGAAGGAACACACTCTAGTTGTATGATTGTTATTCATTTTCCGGCGAGCTTCCGTCGAGAACATAAGGATTTGGTATTGTTTTCATGCAACCAATCACAACACTCCGTGAATAGCCCCAATCTACAACACACCTACGCACCAAGGGGCCGGGGTTCACATGTAAGAATGTCCTCCATATATGATTTCACGTGTAGGAATTTATCCCATACCACTTAGACTAAGATTCTACCACAAGTCCAACACAAGTACACAACATTCTTATCTCTGGGACCTCCATCCTCCTTTTATTGTTAATTATATGTTTTAAGTAAACTAGGACCATGGTAAATTTCTAGGTTGGATCTTCATACTTTTGGCAATGGTTTGGTTTGTTTTGTTTTGTTTATTGTTTCATTAATTGGATAATGGGCGAATTAGTATGTGGAGTGTTATTATAATTTCCAATATTTATATACGTTATTAGGAATTATAATTAGATAATATAATGTTTCTAAAAAAAGTAAATGGTTATATTTTGACTTTGATGAGCGAAAATTGAAGTACACTTTTATCAACTTACGGTGTTTTAAGAATTATGATGGAATAGATTTCTCTCATAGTTCTTGAATACATCAACTTTGACCAAAACGCAACAACCTTTCTTTTGAAACACAATAAGTTGGAGAGAGGTCTAAAATAATTATACCGATACATTTCGATGTCTTTGATTATATTTCTCATAAACTTTAAGTGACATGTCCTGTTCTTGAATGAGCTCTTTTAAAAAGTATTCAACAAAGGTTTGGTTTGGACGAAGTACACTAGTAGTAAACAATATTAATTGCAACCTCCATTCAGAAAAAGAGTTTATAAAGGTGGTCCGTTTGAAAATATATCTATATTTCTCCCCTTTTTCTACCTTGCGAATTTGAACAATATGAAAGGAGTACTCTGCAAAATATTATCAAAGACAAATTGCTTAATCTATTTATCAAAATATATGTTTTGATAAATAGATTAAGCATGAGAATTTCTTACCTTGATTAGCCATATCTAAACACCTAATCTACTAATAAATAGATTTTTTTTTTTTTTTTTTTTTTTGCAAAATAAAAATAAAACTAAATATTGGATCAAATTGTTACTAACTAATGGGCAAAGCCAGATAACTAATAATACACATTTGTTAATTGTTATATCAATTGTAAGACATCTAAAAGGATTGAGACATTTATTCGAATCCTCTTAAGATTATTTGACAATACCATGACTATTTCATATGAATCATGCTGATACATAAAACATATATAGATGTCTTTTTGGCATTTTGGTTCATACATACACACACATATACATGTACGTATGTGTATGTATATACGTTTATTAATCGGCAGACTTTTTTCCCTAGTTTTCTTGTAGTATAGACTTAGACATGATACATATACATATACATACATAGTACATCTAGTTAACATGATAAATTGAAATATTAACTTGGAAGGAATGCGAATATTTGACAAATACCATGACTATGTAATATAAGATTGTTTAATGCATATAATATATTTGGTTACGTCTTGGAATGTCGAGTCAAAGAAGTTTACGTACTGCTCCTATTAAATTTAATTATTTTATCATTATGTATTAAGTTTTAATCATCTTCTGTTAGCGGATCAAAGTATCAATTCTACAAGGATAAACTATCATAAAATCTTTTTCCAAGAACTTAGGAATGTGACTGACATATAAAGTATGACGATTAAATAAGATATAAATTCTAATTCTAATAATTATTATATATTACATCAATTGAACATGTATTATTGTGTTGATTAACACACGAATAAATGAATTTGTTTGTGCTTCTATCTAAGATATTCTGGTTTTGATATGCAAGCGAGAAGTATGTTTATAATACAAAATGATCATTTTTCTTTTCTCTTGACAAATATTTAAGAAAATCAAAGCACTTAAATTCAAACCCCAGTGGTCAACATTTCCTTCATAGTTCTTGAATGCATCAACTTTGACCAAAATCCACTTTTCTTCTTCGCATCATTATCCATGGTCCTTTCACTAACAAAAGCCATGGATTTGCTCTTCTTTAGCTTGCTCTTCAAGAACGAAATTTGTCCTTTTCGATTATCATGCATGGGAGATGCTGTGTTTGACAAAGAAGAAACCGAAGATACTGAAGAGATAGAAGACGAAGAACATGAAGAAGAAGAAGCGTATGTGGTAACCCGTGATGAAGATCTCGAGATCTTTTTTAATCTTTCTCTTAAACACAAGGAACAGACTCCCGGGGATTGTTGATGTTTCGGGTGTTTCTTGCATTTTGTTGACGAAGATGATGGTCTTCTTTTGTTGTTCATTGTATGTGTGTGTGTGTGTTTTATAAGGTGTTTTTGTGTGTGTGTGTTTGTAGGGTTAGTTTTTGGCTTCTTCGTTTGGTGGCTTTTGTGTAGCCTTGAATATTTATAGAGTCATTAGGGTTAAGTTTCGATGAGGTTTCATGGGTGTTTCGATGAGAGTTGCATTGTAATTACTTTTTTGACCATTTGTTGTGAGTTTTAGAAAAGTCAAGTGAGGCGAGGCTAGTTTTCGTTGACTTCAATAAGATGCACGTACGGCTCGACGGTGTTCGATATGATATTGTTTTTCTCTTCTAAAAACATATAACATTTGATAATTAATGTAGAATTTAATAAAAATTTAGTTGATTATAATATATTTAAATATCACATCAGAAAACATATAACAAAAGCCAATCACAACTTAGATAATAAGAAATTTTATAAATCAGAAAAAGATGTTTTCACAAATAAAAAATGTAAAGTTTTTTATTTGTTGGTAATTTTAGTATCGTGTTGTTATTTAATATAATTGAATTAAATATTAGTGCTAAATAAGACACAAATTATGATATAATACAAAACAAGTTGTCCATAGTACATATATGTATAAGACGAGTTTGATATCCTAAACACAACGAATGACGAAGGTGGCAGAGCCTTGCAGCAGTGGTCATGTTGACTGACATATGGGTAGGGTCAAAGGGCGCGGCACCCCAAAACCTAAATAAAATTTTGGATAAAAAAATACAATGGAAAAACAAGATTAGAACTTTATATTATAAATCCATTCGAAAACATGATCAAAATAAATATAAATTGAAATTTATAAGATCCAGATAGAAACAACTCGAGTTCCTATGCCAAGTTGCTAGATGAATAACTCGAGTTGTTATACCAAAATAAACCAGTCTTTAAATTTATTTGCAATGTATTATTTGTGTAGTACTCATTAAAATTGATATTGATTAAAACACCGATAATGTAATTAACTATAACTTTTTAAGCATGCAACATACATTGTTGCTATAAACTTCAAAAGTTAGGAAGAAAACATCAAAACCAAAAAATAAATAAATAAATAAATAAAAATAATAATAATAATAATCACGAGCATATACAACTAAAGACAAAATATTATAGGATAATGATATAATTGTCATGTCGTTATGTTTAATTCAGGAAGAATAAATGAAATTGTATATTCAATGAATTTTTTTTCCCATCACGACACGTGAGCTCAATTTTAAGTTGTATGAGGGAATTTTTAAAGCTCGATTATATAATAAAGACTAAAGATGTATGATTTGAATCTGATTAAGATGATAAGATCTCAAATCTTGTTTCAAATAGATCCTAATATGATCTAGCTTGTTTTTCATTTATAGAATTTTAAAATTCTAAAATCTTATGAAAAAAAAAAAAATGAAATCTCAACAACAAATTGAAATCTTAACAACCATGTTTTTAATTATTAAAAAAAGAATAATTTGTATTTTAATAAAAGTAGGAATTTAATGTTTGGTGGATTTCAATTCCATAAATTTTGCTAACCAATCACATTTTCGACGAAATCTTCCATTCAAATTCCTTCAATTTTGGAATCCATAAAACAAATTTGTTTGTTTTTTAGGATTATTTGTGGGCACACCTTGGCTTAAGAGTCAAGTTTGAGTGTGGAACACGTCCAAAATACAAAAACAAAACCAATACTTATTCGATTGACCAAATTGGTCACAAATCGGTTCCAATAAAAACAAAATAACTAGATTTGATTGATTCAAACTCAAATATTTTCAATAAAAATAATAACTTAGATGAAAAACAAATCGGATCAAATGCATTAAGCAAGAAAAATGTATAATTGACCAAGTCTGAGTTGAATATTTTAATAAACTGGTTGATTTTTTTCTTATATTTTATCTTTAATTGTGGTTGATTATTCTTCCAAGTTACCACACATTGGGAAGAAAAAAAAAAAAAAAAAAAAAACCATTTTTATGACTTAACAATGTCAGCAAACATTCAAGGAAACCACAACGCAAATTCCATGTATGACACTTTTGAGTGTTAACAAAGTCTAAAATATTATTAAATAATAAAAACTTAAAAGTTTTAATAATACAGTTAAGTTGAAGAAGCAGCAGCATCTGTTGTATTAGCACATTGGGAAACATATGGCTTCAGCTGCAATATAACACTCAATTACTCAAAGTCCATTAATACCTTTTAATTCTTTTAAGAAGAAACTAGAAGAACAAAAATTTAATTAATAAATTTGCATAATAATACCTTGAAATCAGTCAAATCTGGAACCACATAGTTTGGCAACTTTTCTTGCACCACAACATAACCACCTACACAAATCATAACATATTACATATTACATATATCATATCAATGAAGATGAAGATTCAGTTTCTTGAAATTGATCTGCAGTTGCAAAGTCTTTAACCTAGATTCTTGTTTGGAATTTTCAAATTCAAATGCTATTCCTACATCATATGCTATGATGACATTTTCAGCTTTCATTATCACATATGAAGAAATGTTGGGGTAAAAGATTGAAGTAGTTCGTTATTATTACCTTTGCGTGTGTGAAAACCAGTTGGTTTACAGTTTTTGCCCTTGTAGTAATCACGAGGACCTGTTTTTGAAGTGAGAATGTTGAGTGAAGATGTTCGTTTTCTTCTGTATGCTCGACCTATTCCAAGTAATAATCCCAAAGCCATATCTGCCTCAAATCAATTAATCTATCAATCAATCAAAACTAAACAACGCAACCAATTAACTTAATTTATCAATCCAGTGTTTTGTTTGCATCTAGGTTTCGATTGTTTGGGTAAAAGTGATAACAATTGTGACCTTAGGATTATTTAGGGTTGAACCGAAGCAATCAGATTTGACGCATGCAAGAATATGATATAAAAGCATCTCAAAATTTGCTTCAGAAGACTGTTGGATTTAAAATCAATAGCAAAATGCAGAGGAACAGGTATGAAGCCACCCAATAAACACACAACATAAAAATAAGTAAGAACAAAGAACATAATTCAATTGCTCAGTGAATAAAATTAAACATAAACGCGATTTAATCAACGAAATAGATCAAAAAAGTGAAGGAGAATATACTAACTGGCGAAATTAACTGTCTCTGAGAAACGTTGCTTCAGTTCGGAGGAGACGATCCAGGGTTTTGATTTGATAGACTAGGGTTTTTCCGAATTAGAATCCGTGCAACCCGGTTATTCATCGGGTCAATTACACAATCCGAGATTCGAATGGTTTGAACTAATGGGCCTTGACTTATGGACTACAGCCCAAATAAAATGAGTTTTGGACAAAAATATAAACGTCTCGCTAATATTTATATTTCATAATGTATAAAATTAATGATATATTCAATTAAAAGTCTACATTATTTTTCTAAATTAAATTCGAACCACAATTCAAATAATATTTGTATCATCCGATACAATTTTTACGTTGCAATTCAATGTAAACCTCCAGCAGGACACTAATCTTTTTTTTTTTTTTTTTTTTGTTAAAACAAAAAATCTAATCAGTTTCTTGTTAGAAATTTTGGATATAGAAATGTTTGGAAATTCTGAGAATCGTGTTAAACATTTTCAGATTAAAGTATTTTGGTGATACTCTCAATTTTTAATCAGATAAGACTCTGAAATTTGAGAAAATAGAAGAGAATATTCAAGATGTTATGAAGAAGAAGTGTACCAACCACAGATTCACCACGGATCCATCTTCAATTGGTTGACATTCCTTGAACCAACGAAGATCCTTACATATATGGCTTGTTGCTCCCGAATCAACCCATCATGCAACATCATCATCCTGCATATAAAATTCTTCAGAAATCATAGAAATATAATTCTGAACATATTTATAATTCGGCATGGAAACAGAAATCTGACCTTATTGCTTTTTTGTATCCTTGGATCCACTTGGTCCAGCATAATCATTGTTCACTTTGTGAAGACGACAATCTTTCTTGAAGTGACCCGGTTTGGTACAATTCCAACAAACTAACTTAACCTTCTTTTTGGAAGACTAGTCATCCTTTCCTTTAAACTTCCATTTTCCATTAGACTTACTGGGATTCTTTGAACTTTCTCCTTCCACCATGTTCACAAGAACCAACTTGGTTCTTGCGTTTAGGATTGTTATCAAGTTCTTGAGTCCTTAAGGACTCTTCAATCCGTAAATGACTTCCAAGTTGAGTCAAAGTTAATTAATCTTTGTTATGTTTCAGATTATGTTTAAAATCTTTCCAGGAAGGGGGCAGTTTGTCAATGATCACAGCCACAGAAAATGGCTTCATACATTTTTAGATTATGTTGAGCAAATTGTCCAAGGATCCTTAACATTTCGTGGAATTGTTCCATAACAGGCCTGGAGTCAATCATCTTGTAACCCATAAACTTACTAACAAGAAGCTTCTTGCTAGAAGTATCTTCAGCTATGTATTTGGATTCAAGAGAATCTCACAGTTCTTTTGCAGATTCAAAATTTTGATAGATATCAAAAAGAGAGTCAGACATACCATTGAGAATATGACCACGACATATATAATCATCATTTTCCCACATTAATCTCCTTCTTATTGCTTCCAAAGTTTCATCTTCAACAGATTCTGGTAAGATTGGCATGGGTGTACTCAGAACATACACCACTTTCAGAGTGGTAAAGAGAAAGTGCATATTCTTCTGCCATCTACGAAAATCTTGCCCTTCAAACTTGTTTAATTTGTCAAACTTGGTTGTCATATCCTTCACAGAATCACCACTTGTCATTATCACATAATACTTTAATTTTGGTTAGAAATTTTGGGTATAGAAAGGCTTGGAAATTCTAAGAATCTTGATAAACACTTTTAGATTAAATTATTTGGGTGGTACTCCTAATCTCTAATCGGATAAGACTCAGAAATTTTAGAAAACAGAAGAGAGAATGTTCAAGATGTTATGAAGAAGAAGTGTACCAACCACGAATTTCGAATATGATCATATAACCAGAAAAACTTCTTGTGTTAAAACTGCCACATGACAGTTTTATGTCCTAGAACTGTCAAAACATCATAAACCAACTTAAATCAGGTTCTAGAATATAAGATCACAAAACTGGGTATATTTACCAAAAATCCGGATTTCTGATGCATTTTTTAATATAGTAACATAACATATATAAAACATTTTCGTGCTCGACCCTAGCTAGGGGCTCTGCCCCTTGGACCCTGCCATGGGCTGCTGCCCCTTGGACCCCGCTCCCAGGGACGCTGCCCCTGGACCCCCATCGGTTTAGGGGCTTCGCCTCTAAATAGCAGTGGACTTTCAACAAAGACAATATTAAACAAATGTGCACTCCGCACATTTGCTCAATAATTGTCAAAGTGATATTGATCAACAAATTAACCCCATTACACTTAAATAACATTAGTGATATAAAATCACCAACATTTCTAAACTACTATTAATTTGATATGTGCTTCGGATAAGATTTGAACCCTTAACCTCAAGAGGGAATATAATATCTGATACCGTTAGACTAAAAACTTTTTGGCCAACATTTATTGGTGAAATATATGCCTACTCAACATGACATGGTATGCTATGAACCATATCGCGATGACATGGATTTTAGTTGTAAATTGTATTTTTAGGTAGTTATTAATCAGAAAATGTGAAGTTACGTCGTAGTTTGTTGTTAATAATCTCTTTAATCCTAATTCTGCTATATTGCATGAAGAAGCCTATATTTTTAAGCTCATGTCATTACATATCTATGACTTTGATCATCAATTTCACCCTACTTAAAATTTAAATCCCTTTTATCTAACAAAACCAAGATCATATAATAAACACTCTCGAGGCCCAAACTTGTAGTGTCATCAAGATCTACAATAACTATCTCAAAACCTTCCACATTGAGGGACTCGTTTTGCTCAATGAACTCACTGCTTAATTCAATGCTCTTTGCATCAAGTCATGTGGACATAAATGTATATTTGAAACATTCACAATAAGGGGATTGTGGTCACTGCCACTTATCTATTCATATATGTAATGCACTAACAAATGTTTGGAAAGTGCATTATACTTTCTTCAACTACTAGAATGCATTATATATATATATATATATATATATATATATATATATATATATATATATATATATATATATATATATATATATATATATATATATATATAAAAGTAAGCCACCTTTTCTAAAAATTGAGAAAAGTGGATGGAGGAAAGATTTTGAGAATTTAGAAAGGATTTTTGTGGATTTAGCATGGATTTTTGTAAGATTTTTGAGAATTAAACATGGATGAAGGGAAGAATGGACAGGTGGCTATCTAAAACAATATTTAAAAATTAATTGATAGATTGGGCTTGTGGTCAATCGATTAGTTTTGTATTGAAATATTCAGCTAATTATGATGGGCCCAGATTTTGGATCCCATTAGTCTGGACTGGACTTTTCATTTAGTCAACCGAGAGAATCTCAAGTCGGTTTGTAAATTAAAAAAGATAAACTAATTCTTTTGCGTAATCGATTTGGAACGGATGACTCATTAATTTGATGAGTTGTCTTCATTTTCTCGTGCCACGTTTTTTCCCGTCTCATTGATACAACCGATGTTTATATTCTCTCTCTTCTTCGTTTTAGTTTTCATTCACCGCTTCTTCGTCTTCTTTCATTAACTCTCTCTCTCTCTCTCTCTCTCTCTCTCTCTCGAACCACTCGTTGCACCAAAGCCTCCTAAATGCCACCACCACTCACCATCACCACCATTTCCCGTGCTCTGCTACCGACAGCCACCGTCGACTGCCTCGAGCTGACTAATTTCCTAATTTCATAAAATTGATTCGATTTTCTGGTTTTATTATGAGTTTTTCTATTAAGCTTGTTTCTGATCGAGTCACTTTTATTTTTGAAATATGACTTCATAGGTGCAGTGTTTTAGTAGTGCGTGACCGTAAATAAAGGCTTGATGACTCAAATTCCTTTGTGTACGAAGATGTAACCGACAAAGTATGTTCGAAACCTAATTTATTATAATGCTTGTTGATTTTGTTAAATTTTTAGCAATTGAGGGCCCACTATTGGTATTTTAGCGTATTTACGATTCATATAATTGTGGGTTTTTGAAATTTTCCTTGTGTTGAGACTGTATACATTATAATTTAGGGCTTGTTCTACACCCCACCCCACCGACACACACTAAACTCATCTTACTCTTCGATTTTTTTTATGTGTTTTTCAGAAAATCCACAATCAAATATGTGTGTTTATTTAGGGAAATTTGGTTATGTAGTTCTATGATTCTACTGCTTTTCTTGGTGGTGTTTCTGTCGATTAACATGAGTTTGATTTGATATTGTGATATTTCGATGCATGTATTGTTTTGAGTTTGATTTACGGTTTCCTTCATCGATTTTCATAGTATCAAAGTGTTAGTCATTGTTGAAACTAAAGTACATCATTATTGAAGGTATGAATTAGCACAATTTGAAGATTTTTTTTAAATCTTCTTTTTCTTTATCATGTGTCTGATATGAAAAGTGCCTAATTACATATGATTTGAGTTGTAATAGGCAGGTTCTGGAGATTAAATTTGAATGTGCTCTAATATCTTGCAGTTTTGCTCTACTGTTCCTCATTTACTCCTGTTTTTTTCTCTGTTCTTATAAATATAGGACTAAATTTGAAGGTACTCTAATATCAATGATTGTTTTGTTTAAGATATTAGAAAGCAAATGGAGATTAAATTTTGATGAACGTAAAGGAACAGATGAGATTTTTCTAAAAAAAATTTACACCGCCATTTTGAAACTTGCGGTAATTAATGAAGATATAATGAGTCCTACTGTTGGTCTTTTCCAGTTTAATACTACTTATATATGTTGTCAATATCATTAACTTAGCTTCCGGGTAGGCCTACTACTATATTTTAAGTATATGTTATTTTTGCTTTCTTTGTGTGTATTGAACCAGGAATATAATGATATGCTCAAGGTAGTGGCATAACTTATCTTTATGGAAACTTTGCATTTTTTGCTAATTTAATGGTGTTTTTCTTTCTTGTGGGTTGCCTTTGGTGATTTGTAATCACATGGATTCAGCGAATTACTCTTCACTCTCTTTGCGAAAGTTTGAGCTCGATCTTTTTCAATGGTTGTGTTCCTTACTTCCATATAATTTATAACATATAAAACAATTGTTTTTTTTTTTTTTTTTTGTAGTGGAGCTACAAATTTCGAAGCATACCGAATGGAAGAATATATTTAACAAGCCTAAGTCTCCTTCTTTGCGGTAGGTAACACATATCGATAAATTCATCATTTTATTTAATTTATGGTTCCCTTTCTCATGAATACGATGATTGTTTAGAAAGTCACTACTACTTCTCTAATGTTAATAGTTGTTTGGTGTGACGATATCGTACAATGAGTTATCTTTTGTATAAATGATATTTTTATTGATTCATAAATGTTAATAGTTAGGAGTCAACAGATTTGGATTAAGCAAATAAATTGATATCATAGAGAAATCTTTGGTAATCTGTTACCAATAGTTGCATATATTTCTAAGAAAAATTTGTTTCCTAAATCCAATCTTTTGGTCAATAATGTTAGGGAAAAGGAGGTTGTATTTGAAGATCAAAACAGGGAAATAAGTTTTGAATAACACAACGGAAGAGCAGATTTGAGGATTATGATTGGTTCCGTTGTCTATGTTCGTGAATTTATTTATTTATTTATTATTTTTTATAAAGACAAGGGAGTTGTAAATAAGGTGGATTTAAGGAGTAGGTTAGATTTGATGTTTCAAAATTTTTTTTTGAATCAACTCAACAAACATCTTAATTTGGTTGAGATTGATTCACCGCCAAAGCTACTGTACCTGAGCTTGCTGGACATAGCGTCATAAAAAAGCCTATTTATCGACTTTATGTTATTCATGAATTGAAGAGCTCTGATGTTGCTAAAAGGATGCTCCATGGTACCTTCCTTAAGAATGATGTGGATGAACTTGAGGTAAAATTACTCCTATCAACTTCACATTATGGAAAGATGTGTGTGTGAGATATGCATATCTGATGGTGCTTTGGGTGCTCTTTTTGGTCTTCTTGATGCTATTTTAGTTCTTACTACTTGGACTATTTATGCTAACAAAGTAATAATAAATAACAAACAATTTTTTACACATCAGTATTTCTATTTTTAATTTTCAAAAGTTTTTATCTTGTTTATTCAAGGCTACAGCTTTGAGATGTCATTTTTACATGGAAGATTCATTCCGACCAAGCTACTATGCTTGCTTTCATCTCACTTAGTCGTTTTAGGCACTATCTATGATGGGAGTTTACATACTTGTATACATCATGTGGAAACCATAATAGGAACACTTATTTAATATTTATGTCATCTTTTACATTTTACATTTTACTTTTCAGTTTTCCTTTTTCCTGTAGCATGTATAAAGTCCACTTTATTATCAATCCATGAAAACTCCTTCAGGGCCGTGATAATATCAATCCATGAAAACTTCACGGCCCTCATAACTTCACTAGTGTATATATATATATATATATATATATATATATATATATATATATATATATATATATATATATTACTTTGAAAATCTAGCATTACCATATGTCATCAAGCTTTCTAATCCATCATTCAATCTCTCCCATTTATTATGATTTACTTTCAAAAAATAAAACCCTACGTTTTGGTATAAAAATCAGTGATTAAAGCTAGATATTAAATTATAATTTCCAACTCAGACTGTTGGAATTCGGTGAAAGCCACCATGATGACAACGAAAGACAAAAAAACGTTGTTTCAAATCTTACTTTGACCATGTTCAGCCACTTAATTTCTCTTGTTATGCCCTAGTTAGGTTATGAATGCAAAATCCCCGCCCTTTAGTCCTTTATTTACTATTGTTTCTCTCATTAACTAACAGGCCCCTCAACTTTGAAATGTCGGATATTTAGCCCCCGAAACCATAAAAGATTCATATTCGCCTCCTGGACCATTGAAATGCCAGGATATACTCTTAACATGTTGGTGATGTGGATGACAATATCAATAAACTTTAGAAAAAAGAATGGATCTCCATTATATATTTTACATGATAGTCGTTTTAATATAATAACTAGTTATAATATTTATAATTAAAAAAAAAAAAAACTTGATGTATTAACCCGATTCAACTTGATTTTATTATAATTTGTTAGTTGTAACAGTCCATTTTTTTTTTCACCTGGTATTTCTAGCAATTAACCGACTAGCCTCATTGCAAGTGAATTGTAACATTAAAGATGGTATTTAACTCGTATGTTTAATCAAATGTTTATATTTTAATCTATTGATATGAAGAAGATAATATACTTTTATAATCTATATTTAATTGTATATATTTTTATTGGAAAATTGATGAATGAATGCTCTAAATGAGGTGGCCAACATGATTGCAAGCTTATGATGGGTTGGAGTTGGCCCATTAAGCTTAGAATATTTGTGCTTGCTTTTGGGACCTTCTCCTATAACGTGTCTCCAAATTATTTATCAACTTTCTTTTCTACATTAAATATTTAATTTCAGAAAAAGAATATAACTGACAAAAAGTAAATGAAGTTTTTACTTAAATCAAACAAAATTTCTTTTATCCTTTTAGTATAATTATAACAATTCTTAAATGTAAAGGTCATAATGGTTTATTTATATCTCTTTTGTAATTCAAAAGTTCAAATGATCATAATAATGATCTTTTTATGTATCTTTCTATTGATAACATACAATATATTTTAATTTTCGTTATCAAATGCATTAATGTTCTCTTGTTAAAAGAAATTATCTTTAATTATTAACCTTATCATCTATTTAGTAATAAATTTATACTTCTAATTAAGGCATTTATAAAGATTAACGAATTTATATATAAAAGAATAAAATATTATTTTACAAAAAAAATGATTTACTTGTACCAGTTTTGCTGTATTAAAAAATAAAAGTAAAAAGCACTAAAAAAAACAGAAAAGCTAAGGCTAAGGTATGATCTGTATTTGCCGTTAGTTGACGTCACAATGTCTCACCAACATAAAGCAGCCTTTGACTTTTTGACTTTTTTCCGTTTAAATTACTTAACACCCCTACAACGTGCCTCATTATAACGGTAACTTCGTACTTCGCCAATTTTCTTTTCTCAAGGGTGCACTGTAAGACACTACACCCTCAATCCAACGGCTGAAAGTAAAACCTCTGTGACACGTGTACGTCGCTAGTGCTGTTGATTTGGTGGACGACAACTAAGACTGCTGGCATTACTTAAAAAACCTCAGTATATAAACCCTCCTTCTCTGTTCTATTCTCATCGTCTAATCACTGATTCACTCTCTCTCTCTCTCTCTCTCTCTCTCTCTATATATATATATATATATATCTCTCAGGAATTACAGAAGCTTTCTACAACGACAACAATGGCATACTCAAGCTGTCTGATGGTGTTGCTGGTTGCATTGATCGCTGGATCTGCTTTCGCTCAGTCACCTACGGCTGCGCCAACGGTTTCTCCAACGGCTTCGCCCACCGCCGCACCTCCTTCACCTGTCTCCGCTGTTCCTACTGCCTCACCGACTGAAGCTCCATTGGCTTCTCCACCGGCTCCTCCTACTTCTCTAGCTCCATCTTCTCCAACCGCTTTTCCTCCTTCGATCTCATCGACTCCCACCGGTTCACCTACCTCTACTCCTAACTCCGCTAGCCTGAACAGAGTCGCCGCCGCCGGATCCGTTGCCGTGGTTGTCTTAGCCGCTGCTTTCGTCCTGTAGAGATAGATCTAGTGGCGTTCATGATTTTCACATTGAGTGAGGGTTTCTGAATATCGATTCGTATGATATTCCAGTTCATTGTTACTATTATTTATTTAGTAGTTGATTTTAGTAATTTGTTGTATGTCGATCTCGGCTTCACGATCTAGTACTCGATTTGTTGTTGTTATCATTATCATTTCATATACCGATTTGTTCATGAGTTCATCCGTAGAGATTTTGCCTTTTTATGTCTACTTTTGTTCCCTGTGTGTGTGTCATCAATGGAGCTTTTTTGAAAAACTGCAACAGAGATCGTAGTGGACATGTGCTGACCGTGAAAAGTCTGGTACTGACCGCTGACCGTGATTCAAGGTATGCACCATGTAACTCTACATGTTTACTGCACTTTATTTTGTTACAAACAAATTCACTCATCATTCCATAAATTGTTATAGTTAGTAGAATTGGGTGGTAATTACACATTCGGTTAAAGAGGAAGGACCAAAGTGTAATAAATAATTACATACTATTTAGGGGAATAAATTAAGGAAAAAACCAACTAAGAAAGACAAAAGTCACAAAATGTGTTCATTCAGTGCTTTTTATTTTGAACAAAAAAAACCCCTAAAATGTAGCTTCTTATTGACGTTTTAAGCATAAAGGTGGTATACAAATTCTAGTCAGGTTGTAGAGAATAAGAAAGAGCATGTGTGAGTGTGAGGAAAAAGAAAAAGAAAAAGCATATATAGCTTCAAACCAACTCATTCTTCCAAATTCTTTCCTATTTTCTCTACCTCCTTCCACCATCTTCATATTCACTTCAATCTTCATTCATTCCTCCATCTTCTCATATATTCATTCAAATCAATGGCGGAAACAGACCTGTACAAAACCATGATCAACAACCCACAACTCCCTCAAAACCCAAATAAATTCTACACCCATTTCTTCTACAAAGCTGTCTTCGTATCCATCTTCCTCTTGCTTCTTCCCTTATTCCCTTCTGAAGCCCCTGATTTCATCAATCACACAATTAACACCAGAAGTTGGGAGCTTCTGCAACTTCTATTCGTCGGGATTGCTGTCTCTTATGGACTTTTCAGCAAACGAAACGACGAACAGCAACAACAACAACAACAACCCATTAAGTCCGATAACGCTCAGTCGTATGTGGCCAGATTGCTTCAAGTCTCATCGGTTTTTGATGATGATTCTGAAACCCCATCGGAGCCCAATCATAGTAATAATAGTAAGGTTCAGACATGGAATTCTCAGTATTATAGAGGCGAACCTATCGTAGTTGTAGCGAAAGAGACCTCTCAACAAGCGGCGGATTCATCAGCAACAGTTGAAAAGCCTCTGCTTCTACCTGTTCGTAGTTTGAAAAATGGAGTTTCTGAATCTTCTTCCATGATCGATTTTAAGGTCGGGAGATCTAACTCGAGGCGATTTAATAGAAATTTGAGCAAATTAAGCGGAGTGAGTCCGGAATCGGAGGAGGAGAATATCGTTCTACAGTCGCCGATTCCATGGAGATCGAGATCGGGGAGGATGGAAATCAAAGAGGAATTTACTCAAACGCCTGAAATTATCAATCATTCTTCAGATCCTCCATCACTCTCTGAAATCCAATCAAAATCACTCCAAGATGTTGGCCGGAAAAAAAACCCCACCACCAAGTCATCATCTTTCTCACCAATTCCTCCTCCGCCTCCGCCACCCCCACCTCCACCGTATCACCGACGGGTGAACTTAACCAACACCCAAAACAGAACCGATACGTATTCACGTAAGGAGTTTAGAAGAAATGCGAGAAGCTTCCCGAATAAATTCTCAGAGGATACCCCAATGGCAGCTAAATCAAATTCATTTAGAACACCACGACAAGAAACTGAATTCGATGAATATTTATTACATGATAGTGAAATCGAAAGGTTTTTAGAAAGAAGAGGGAGTCACAAAAAGAAATTCATGGCGGATGATGATGATGAGAAGAAAGATGTTGAAGAAGAGGAAAGCGATGAGGATGAGCTTCAAGAACTTGCTTCAAAAAATGGAGAAATGGTGGGGAATGATGATGATCATCATGATCATGGTCCAGATGTGGATAAAAAAGCTGATGAATTCATAGCGAAATTCAGAGAGCAAATTAGACTACAGAGAATAGCTTCAATTAGAAGATCAACTACTCAAACAACACCTAAAATTGGAGGAAGGTAATAACTAATATAACTAATAAATAATCAATTTTCAGTTTGAAGATGTGTAACTCTTTCTTTCTTGATACTTCCTGTTTTATTTTCAAATTTTCATTGTACCCTACATACTTGTTAGTTTTTTCTTTCACAATTCAAAAAAATAAAAAATAAATAACTATATCATTATTAATTAATTGATAAAGAAAATCGTTTTATCTTATCCGTCTCATGTTGATGTCATAAGACACATTTTCTAGCACATCACCATGTTCTTGTTCCTCTATCCTCTACCCTCATAGTAATAATAATAATACTTTTCAACAAAGAAAAGTGATTTGAATGAATAATCGGGTCTTAAACAATATAGAAACTTGCTATTTAATTGATTATTAAAATGGGCTTTGTACAAAAAGAATAAATGCATAGCATCACCTCCTAAAGATGTAAAGGATTGATATGAAGAGTGAAGAGTAGAGAGAGGAGACAAGTGAAGAAAAGTATACCCATTACCCTACCAAGGTTGTTTACTATCCACGTTCTTCCTTTTTTTTTTTTTTTTTTAATAATTAATTTATATTATTTTCTTTGTTTTTTTTCTAATACAAAAATAAAAGCTAGCGTAGGCATCCCAAAAGAGGAATCATCTTTCATCACCACATCCAAGCAACCTAACATATTTGCTCCCCATTCAATTTATACCCCCTCCTACTTTTTAGTTTTCATTCAACCATCAAAATGGATTAAATAACGATCTAATGCATAAAATCACCTTTAAATTCCATAGTAAAAGTAGTTTACAATGTGTTATTGAAATAAAAGTTGAATATGAACTTAAATAGTTAGTCAAATGCATCAAGCTTTTTATCCAACTTTAGTGTTATATGGCCTTTGACGTGGTGTTTGGTTCAAGGTAAATGGTGGAAAGGAATATGAATCTCGATCCATGTGATGAAATTTCGAAGCTATTTGGATGATTTGTCATCCATTACCAATATGAACGAATAAGTCCAATTCGTTTTTGGAAAAAAAATGGATCTATCAATTACTATTGTTATCAGCATCATTATCTTATCTTATAACTATAAACTTCTAATAATAGTTATTATCGTATTTGTTTCTATTTTATGTTAGTTATGTGGTATGTTAAGGACAATATTAGGAATTACGTAGAGTAGCATGTTAATTTTTTAAGCTTTATACTATATATATATATATCCCCCATTTAGTAGTTACTTAAAGATAAAATGGTGAAAAGTACCATGGACATACTTAGATCCGATTTTACATATAAGACTGTTCATAACTTTGTACATAAGGAATAAATTTTTTGAGTGTATTGTATCAATTGGTACATTTTCAAGAAGCATGTTGATTGACAATATTGTTTACATAAATACAATATTATGATGAAAAGTTCATGGAAGTGTATAATTGTTTTGCTATTTCGTTGTTTGTTTTGATTTAAAATTGAAAATATGTTGTTTTTCTGGTTTGAAAATGAAACAATTTTCTAGAAGAAAATGTGTCTCGAAAGTATTTCACAATTAAACAATTTTTTTCCTTTCTAAAAGGTGGTCAAACATTATATACATTAACATTTACAGCCATACATAGTCTACACTGTTTTATTTCTTTTTAGTCCCTATAGTTTCAAATAGACGGAAATTATTCTTATGTGAGAAAAACTAAAGAAATAGTCCCTTTTTTTTAATATATATTTTTTAAATCGAGTTTGTATCGTAACAGCCCCATCCGGCTTTAAAAATTTTCATTATTGGCCCCCTTTTCTAAAATTTCCAGAATTTTGCCAAACTTTTTTTTTTTTTTTTTTTTTTTTTTTTTTTTTTAAAGCTGTCCATCTTTCCAATTTTGTTACAACTATGTTTTTTATTGAGGTTTTTTTAATAGAATTACTATTTTATATATTTTCTTTTATGAACATTTTTATTTATATTTTTTTCTTTTTAAATTTATTCACATACATTTTTCATGTATTTAGGCCGTGAAAATATATAAAGATCAGTTTCTTTTAAATATTTGTGTTTTTGTACCAATATATATATATATATATATATATATATATATATATATATATATATATATATATATATATATATATATATATATATATAATATAAACTTAAATCCATCGGTAAATAACTTTAGAAAAAAATATATCAATTTTGTTAATATTACTTTATTATTCTATTTTAATTCGGTTAACTTTTTTTAAACCAAAAATGAGTATGAACGGATTAAAAGTTGTGGACGAAAAGATAACTGACCAAATGAATAGTTTCTTGAATTTAACAATGCATCGACTAGTTTTTTGAAAGGAAATAAGTCAATAATCAAAATGATAAAATACACAATGCAAAATACATTAAAAAAATCTAAAATAAAATGATGAGAAATAGAATCCTGGCATGAAAACTCAACCAAGAATCACGACACACATCAATGCAACCAAACTGAAAATAGCAGCCGCAAACGGGGAGACGACAGGCGAAGAACTTTCCACCGGAATATTACTAGTACTTCCGGCGACAGTGGGAGGAGCAAGGGTGGATCCAAAAGGCGTGGCGGTGGGTGAATCGCCTGTTACAGCTGATGGAGCGGCAGAGGGGCTCCCAACACCGGCGGCACCGGTGACATCGACAGTTAGCTTCATGCCAACACTGCAATGCCCGACAACACCACAGATGAAGTAGTGGGATCCGGTGGTGTTTAGGGTGATGGTGGTGGTGCCGGAGTTGTAAGACATGATGGAATTGCCGACATTGCAGGTGGTGTAGTCGTCAGAGCTCACTTCATCCACCG